TGCTCTTCCAATTTTCACAGCACCATTTATCGAAGAGGCTTTCCTTTCTTCACTGTATGTTTTTGGCTTTTTTATAGACAATTATTTGCCCATACAAATATGGGTTTACTTCTAGACTCTCGATTCTGTTCCACTGGTCCATGTGTCTGTTTTGCTGCCAATACCATGCCGTTTTGACTACTGTCACTTTGTAGTATAATTTGAAGTCTGGCAGAGTGATGCCTTCAGCCTTATTCTTTTTTTTCAGGATGGCTTTGGCAATTCGGGGTCTTTCATTCTTCCATACAAATCTGATGAGTTTTTGTTCTATTTCTTTAAGAAATGCCAATGGGATTTTGATGGAGATTGCATTAAATTTCTATAATGCTTTAGGTAATAAGGTCATTTCAACTATGTCGATTCTTCCAATTTATGGACACGGAATATCTTTCCATTTCTTTTTTTCTTTGATTTCTTTTCCTAGGGCTTTATAGTTTTCATTATATTTGTCCTTCACATGTTTCATTAGATTTATTCCTCAGTATTTCATTCTCTTCATTGCAATTACAAAAGGAATTATTTTTTCCACTTCTTTTTCTGGCATTTCATCATTAGAGTACAGGAACACTATGAATTTTTGAACATTGACTTTGCATCTACAAACTTTACTTAGAGGAAAGTTTTTTTAGTTTTTCACATAAGTATAATGTTGCCTGAGGGTTTGTCATATATGAGTTTTATTATGTTAAGGTACTTTCCCTCTGTACAAATTTTATTAAGTGTTTTGATCATAAATGGATGCTGTATTTTGTTGAAGCCTTTTTCTGCATCTATTGATATGATCATATGATTCTTATTTTTTAATTGTTTATGTGGTGTATCACATTAATCAATTTGCATGTGTCGAACCATCCCTGTGCCCCTGAGATGAAGCCCACTTGATCGTGGCGTATAATCTTTTTAATATGTTGTTGTATTCGGTTCACTAGTTTCTTATTTAGAATTTTTGCATCTGTGTTCATGAGAGATATTGGTCTGTAGTTTTCTTTTTTTGTGTTATCTTTGCCAGGTTTTGGTATCAGGGTAGTATTGGCCTCATAAAATGCGTTAGGAAGTATTGCCTCCTCTTCAATTTTTTGGACAAATTTGAGGAGAATACATATTAAATCTTCTTTGAATAGTTTTCTACGTGTGTTTTTTAACTCCAAGGTTTCTGTTTGGTTCTCTTTTTTTATAATTTTTATCTCATTGACGATATCATTTTGTTCCTAAATCAGTTTCCTTATCTTGTTTATTTTTCCGCATTCTCTTTGAGCTTACTGTGTATATTTAAATTACTTGTTTTTAATTTTTCGTCACATAAGCCAGAGGCCTGCGTTTCTTAGGTTCAGTTTCTAAATACTTATTTTGTTCCTTTGAATTGGGCTATGTTTCTTTGTTTCTCTTTATGCCTCATCTTCTGTTGAAATTTGTGTATTTATAAATTAGCTACCTCTCCATGTCTTTGAGGACTGACTCTATTCATGCAGAAACCTACAGTCATCAGCCAGTTTAAAGGCTCAGGTCCCACTCAAACTTTTTCTGGAGATGTGTCTTCCCTGGGTCTTTGCATGTGCTTTTATCACATTTCCAATTTTCTCAGCTGCTTTAAATATACTAGTTTCACAAAGAGTCTTACCCCTGGGTCTCAGAAGCCTTGGAAGTTCTCTTGTATTCCTCTGTCCATAATCTCTTGCCCATAGGCACCATGTGTCTGCAGACCCCCTACTCCTCTCTACTGCCACTGCTTCCACTGTTCCAGTCAGTGCTTCAAGGCAGGTGAGACAAAAATCAATCCCTCGGACTCCCCATAGACAAGGCAGAGCATTACAAACAACTTCCACTCTTTTTCTTCCAACCTAATAAAGAAACTGGGAATTGGGCACCATGCTGCCAGTTATATCATGCTGCGCTGGTGAGGGAGTAGGGCAAGGATAAGCAAAAGCACTATGACTTTTTCTACCATTTTGGGTACAATTTTTCTTGATTAGGCCCTTGATTGCTGCAGCTTCTTACCTGGTTTCTAGAGTTCTCACAAAGCTACATTGATCCATCTATTGTTATTTATTTAGTATTGCCATGGGAGAACAAGGGCCTGGAGCTTCCAAGTTTGTCATCTTGCTGATGTAACTCCCTATTATTTGTTAAAATTGCATACGAATCTATAATTATTTCAAAATAAAAAGTTTAATTTAATTTTTAAAAATTGGCTCAAATGTACTTAAGTCCAAAGTGTCTCTTTCAGAAGAGATCTTTCTGCTAGGAACTTTACTCTTCAGTTAGGAGCATGTTCAGTCTTTTTTATGTCAAAATTACCTTATTTTTGAGATATACCCACCTACCAGGCTAATACTTTCTTGACACAAGAAAACATAAGTAATCTATTCTTCCAGCTAAACTAACCCACTTTTTGTTCTTTTTGTTTATTCAAGGTTCTGGTGTGGGATGTATAACCGCTTTGACAAAGGGCTTCATCCCAAGCAGAGTATGCTTGAGAGCCTCCTGGAAATTAAGAAGCAGAGAACAATGCTGGAGGCAGATGTGCACAAACTAGAAAAGGTAGAGAGAAGAATCTCAAAATGAGATCCTCTTGCCCCTTCTGAGTATGCCCAGCCCACTTGGTACTTGTGAGTAGCTGCCTGACTGGTTTGTTATATCTTCTGGTGTCCAGGTGTCCTATAGCTACAAGGCACTGAGGCACAACTCTTTTTCTTACTCCCCATAGAAAGTGGTAAATATCACACTCAGCTAATTAAACAAGTGGATTGGTTCCCTAATTTTGATCTGGGTGTGATTATTAGGAGAAACAAAAGGGAAGTTATACTGATATTTGTTATCGTATCTTGGGTGTACTGATAAGAACAATGAAATTTTTATATTTTCAATTAGGAAAACCTTATAAAAATTCTCATTTTCTTCTCATGTAGATAGTAAACTGTTCTTCGAGTGGTCATGCTATATGTGTTCATTTTGCTTTATGATACCAGCAAAACCAGACACATGTTTTTAATTACAGGTTAAACAAGTCAACAAGGATTTCTTTTCAAAATATAGAAAATGCTGAGGTGCTTCTGGATTCTAGGGGTCCTTACGGGTGTGTTTGAAGGAAAGAGGGGAAGGGTATCTCTTATAAAAGAATTCTTGGAAGAGGTGTGCTGTTTAGGAACTGGGTGTGAACCCAGTATAGGCCAGATAAGGCATAGCTTTTCCTTATAAGTAATCGAATATCCTTTTATTGTGAAAATAAATGTATTTTGATTACATCAGATTCCAAACTTTTGAATGTCCTCTTGAGAGGTAAGGTAATAGTCAGTTACTTGGTTCCATTTATTTAAAAAAAAAAAAAGAAGGAGAAGGAGAAGAAGGAAGAAGACAGAAACTGGAAAACTGAAGCATGACTTAAAATCATAGGAAACAAGGGAAATAAGCAGCCCTGAGAAGACCAAGCGATAGGCAAAACTAAGAAGAAGGAAAACTTTTCCCTAGGGTCTTCTGTTCTCTCTTTTAGCTATTAGCAACAATGCTCCCAGAGCAAGTGCCTCATTCATGATAGCCCTCTCACTTATTCTTGCCTGTTTTCTGAGAGAGGATCAGATTTATTCTATATTGAATCAGATCATTATTTGATTCTAAAGTAAAAAATTAAGGCTTTCTTCCTTTTAAAATATATACATTAAAATTATTAACATTCTTTTTTTAATACAGAGAAGAAAATCAAAAGTGGCCCATAATATTATTTCCCAGATAGCCCTGTCATCATTTTAAAAAGGCAGTTCAAGTGTACAGTTAGAATATGCACAATATAAAAACATATAAAGTGAATAAAAGTTTAAAAAACTTCCCCAGCCACCTATTTAGTTCTTCTCTCCAGGGCTTATCACTCTGTGTGTGTATTTATGAGATTTTATTATTTCTAGAAAAATAAAAATGATATGCTTGCTCCTTAAGGCAGGAGCTCTTGTTTGGAGTCCATGAACCCTATAGGTATCCACAGATGCCCTTTGGGGCATATGTGAAGCATGTGAAATTATACCTAAAAACTTTTTATGTGCTGTCTCATGTGCACATGTGTATGCATGTAGTTTTATGAGAAGTTCCATCATTTTCTTCATATTTTCAGAGGAATCTATGACCCCTAGAAAATTAAGAATCACTGTTGTAAAGTATCAGTGAATCATTGTGTTATCCATTAAAATAAGAATATTCATTGGAGATAGCATAAGTAAGGTAGTAGACAGGTTATAGACTTTGGCATTAAAAAGAGACAGAGTCAGATCCCAGCTCTACTACTTCCTAAATGTGTGAATTTGAGTGACTCATTTAAATTCTATGAGCCTCAGTTTCCTCATCTATAAAATACAGCTAATACCTAACAGGATTCTTATGAGTGTGAAAGGAAATACTATATGTAAAGTGTCCAGCACATAGCAGTATTCAATAAGTATCAGTGAGCCTCTCCCTTGCCCTCCCTGCTCCTAATAATAAAATTGCATTTTTAAGAAAAGAGAACTTTTATAGACACAAGACCTTTGAGGATCTTTAATGTTAGGGCTTTTTAAAGTACTATCTCAGGTGATGAAGAAAAGCTGTTTGGAGATAAAGAGGGGGCAAAAGGTCATTTGCTACCATATCAGTGATAGCAGGCAGGATCTCTGCAGGATAATGTAATATTTGCCTATTACATTAGTTTTTCTCCTGTTTCTAATTATTTTCACCCATTCCTTTCTTCTATGACAGAAATTGAAAGCCCATGATGAGCCACCAGAGCAAGTCTGTACCTGCTCTCAGTTAGGGAATTTATTACCTCAGCATCTGGGAAGTCCTTTGACCAATCCACTTGGCTTGATGGGTATCGATGGAGATCTCAGTACCTTGATGGAGTATGGCACCCTGTCCAGGGAAGGAGGCCTCCAAGCTCAGATGGATCAAGTAACAAGCCAGTGTGCAGACCACCACCATGACTGTTGTGGGATCATGGGCAGCCTTAGGGCCATAAACATTTCTGAGAATGTAGGCTGCTCTGGAGACACAAGAATCTCTGAGACCAGAGGCATCCCTGGGGCCACGGGCATCTCTAGGGCCACAGGCATCTCTGAAGACATCAGCATCTCTGGAGCCATGGGCTTCTCTGGGGAAATGGGCATATATGGGGACATGGGCATCTCAAAGGCTAGCACTAAGGAAGCAGGCTGCTCCAAGCAGCAGTGAGCTACTTATCTGCTTCCATGCTAAGTACACCTGCAGGTACCCACAATGATCCTTGTCGCAAAGGCCATGCTGCTTTTCCAATTAGTTTAAATGGGTAAGGCCAGAGCACCCCTCTTCCACTTAAGAGTCTGGAAGGGAATTTAGGGTCTTTACTTATTAAGTGATCAGTATATGCACTTCGAGCAGCCCAAAATGTAGGTAAGAGAAAGATTATGTTATTGTTCTAGAATGGTATTTAACTTTAGAAATATTGCCTTTCAGCTGAGATACTAGGCTGGTTCCATTATTCTATTTTCCTTAATGACCCAACTTCCCTACTTTTCTACCCTATAGCATGAGAACAAAGTGGAAATATTGTCATAGTGGAGAATTAAGATCTTATTAAGGGGATGAAGAGATGGTGTGCAACAGGTAACTGAATCACCATATGGTTTAAAAGAAAATTTTACTGTCAGATATATTTAGTCATAAGATGTAAGCTAACATTATTGCCTATAGAGACCCCAACATTTGCCTGAGAAATAAATCAAAATGATCCTTAACTGTTAGCATGAGTGCTGGCTGCTTGGTGGTTTAAAACATATAAAGAAATAGTTTTCTTAAGTTACACTTGCTCTTCCAAACACATATCCAAGCCAGGTCTTATAATACTCACTTAGCCAACTCCCCTTTTCATAGTTGGTCCATAGGTAAATTTGAATCCACTACACTCTAAAATGATCAATTCCAAATTGGTGAGATCTGAATTAGTAACATTTATTAATAGTATTCTCAACATCAATTCAAGAGACAATGGAAACTCAGTGCTTTAGACCTTGGTTTATACATGGCCTTTGTGCTCATCTGAGTTTTCCTAAAACAGACCTGTTCTTAGTTCTTTTTATGAAAACCAGTGGTTTTGCTTCTGTAGATATCACATCAAATTTGCGGATTTTTACATACAATTGGCACTGTTTTTATCACTTTGTGCTAATGTACACTTTTGAAAAAATCCATTCTTATAGGAGGCCTAAATACTCCTTGGAGAAGAGATATGTCCCTTATTGTTTAAACACCAGATCTTCTTCTTGAGACTGATACACTTGATGTACACTTTCTTATTGGATATTCAGTCATGGTTTACCCGCTTTCACATGCTGTGGTAGGGTAGGCCTCTGGCAGTTTTGGTCATACACTATATATTATCAGCATTTTCAAAACTCCCATTGCCAATACAATTCATGTCTTCACCCAAGATGTCTATTGTGAATACTCTGTCTGGCTTAAGCTCAAAAATGAGTTCTTAGTGAAAGAGCCATCTTCAATATTACCACATTCAGTGGTAAACACAGACATTTCTAAAGACTCATTCGTTACTCTTCTCTGTAAGAAAGAGGTGCCTTTTAACTTAAGTGTTAGAAGTAGGAGAGAAGAGCCAGGGTAGCTCCCTGATTTCTTGTCCATACCTAAACTATGAACCCAAAACAACCTTCCTCTTTAGAGGAAGAACATTAAGTCATTTGGGTTATCTTTTTTCATATGCAAATAGGAGCCATTTTTTTTACACTTACCTTCTGTTGGTAGCTGTTTCAATTCTGTGTTTATAAAGAACTAATTTATTTGATATTTTTCATTTTAAATAGAGTCCATTTTTAAAAATTCGCCTTATTCTGATTCTTGCCTTGTTTCTGTCATTTTTAAGCAATAAAGTGATTTTCTATTATGTATTCTCTGATCCTTCTCTTTCCACAATTTGATCACTGGCTTATATAACCTAAATCATCAGATGTTTCCAGTTATTTGACTTATTACTTCTGGGAAAAAAAGTATGATTTGTGCAAATCATTTTGATCTGGAGACTCCATCTAACCCTGGCTTTGTAGGAAGATGTCAAAGAAGATGACAGTACCAATCCATCTGTTATGAGTGAGTCTGTTCTGGGTCTTGCTTATACCCAGGGCTTTTTCCTATATCTCAGTCTGAATTTCACAGTTCATTAACTAGCATGATACTCCAAATACAGGATGTTACGTTATTTTCAGGAAAAGGAAAAAAGCAAATGGCAGGACACAGTAATTTTGTAAATCCTATGAAAAGTTAGTTTAAGAGTCTCAGATTTGTTTCTACAGACCTGAACAAGGGCAGTACATAGTATCAAACTTTATTTTTTAGATCTAGAATAAAATTAATCAGTAGTGGAAATATATTTTCAATATAATTTTAAACTGAGATGTGGTAAAGAGCAACACTGGTATTACCAAAAGCAAAAACAAAAATTTTTAAAAAAGACTGTCTTATTTTATTGAGGATTTAAAAACATAGAATCAATTTCAGCCTAAAGATCTGTCAGTCAATTTATTTGGTCTGTTTTCATTTTATTTCCCAACATGTTCCATTAACACCTCCCTGTTTTTCCATTGGATTTGGAAAAAGTTCAGTGGGATCCAAATACTTGTGTACTGGTAAAAATCCAGTAGATATCTGTAGTCAGGAGCTTCATGACAGAGAGGAAACAACTGAAGGAAAGTTGCTGGGTGTACTATAAAAAAAGTGATCTATTAATGGCTTTCATTTCATACCCTATATGGTACCTATGCTATGAAAGAAATATGACCCCTTCCCCCACTGTCCTACCCTTCCCTGGGCAGAAATTCCATTCTAATATGACTTCCCCGCTTAAATAAGAAGGCTACTGTTTCATCCACTAACCTGACCTCTGCCTGTTTCCTATGCAAGTTTCACAGGCCTAGGATCACTGTTTATCTTTTCTAAGCATGAGGCAGGCTCTGTGCCTGTGCTTATATCGATGAGGGTGAGGAAGATTCTTCATGGACACCTTTTTAAAAATTTTAATTATTTAATTAGTTTATAGAATAACAGATTCTTCATGGTAATAAATAAAACAACCCTAAATAACAAAGCTAAGTAATAGCTAATAGTCTGACTTTTCAAAGAAGAAATTGAGAGATAAGGTTTGCTGTGTGAAAGAAAACCTGGAATTCTATTTGGAACTAACAGGGCAAGAATGTAAAGCTTATGGTGCATGTATTGGACACTTATATCTTTGGAAAGTCACTCTAGAAATTGTGTTCGATTACTACCAAGTCAGTTAACATTGCCTGTCAACATGTGTGGATACCTTTTGTCTGCAACATACCTCACTTGAAAGTATGACCTTTTCCTGAACACTTCCAACTAGAAGGAATACAAGTCATTTTGCTTTTCAAACCAAATTGGTACATATTTAAGGTTGGCCTGAATTTAGCAGTTAGAGATATTTAATAACTATGTCAGATCTTTGTTACTTACTGGCTTTTATGAAACACATAACACCTTTTCTTGATGCTTTTAAGCTTTGATATACCACTGGGAAATCTTTCTATTGGAGCATTTTATAAAGTGGCCTTTTTTCAAACA